AGCCCGAGGTCTTCACTGGAAAAGAAACTAATTGTCACAATGGGGTTTTCACCGAGTGAAATACATAAAAATCACTCTACTGAATTAGCGCTTTACATTTATGTAAATTGAAATACCACAAACTATGGATGTGTTCCAGTTTTTCAGATGTATGCAAAATATCCAAAATCATACATTTCAGATCGTCCGATGTTTTTCTTTTGATTCGGATTGATCTTAATGTGTTAACACACGTGAAATCCCCACCTACAGTACATATACCGATACGAAAATATGAAACTGTAAAACTAAAATCCGAAATGTTCCCTTAATCATTCGTTTTGATCTAAAACTCGTCTTTTGCAACAAGCCTTCACAATCATTGTCATAAGTTGGTCAAGCACAGGATCCTCATGTGGCTGCATGTCTCTAGCATGACCTTGTTTAAATAGGGGGGGGGGGGGGGGGTATAACAAAAATCATAGGGGCCATACAAAGTCAATGTTAAATAATCTTAAACAAATGTTTAAACGGAGTGCGTAAATGTATAATCTGATTTTGCCCATCGTGCATTCAGCTCCCGATCTCACCGTGTGTATGAGGGAAGGCTGCGGCGCTCATCGCCACCCTAAACCGCATCCACTGCACACACCGTGGCAGATGCCAATACCTGATGCGCAAATGGAAAATTTTACACTCTCCAGTCGTGTACGACTGTGGTTGTACAGAACAGGCCGTGACAACGTAAACCGACGCAATGCCCAATCCACAAATACGAAGGAGAGACATCGAAGCGATACACTCGGCTGGCTCCTGGTGTGGTTATTCTGGCTTCACCACCTGAATGTAAAATTGTAGTTGTTGCTCTGCATCTACATCAGCCATACGAAAGAAGAAAATTGTTAAATATTGTACCAGAGAATTTAGAATGGGGGGGAGGGGTAATTATATGGGGGGGGGGGGTGCTATGTTGCTGTGGTGGCAGTTTGATTCACGCAGTTTAGAAGCTAAGCGCTAAGTGTCATCAGAAGTTCATTACGTGTGAGGAGTTTGTCGAGTTTGCGGTGCTGTCAACACCCGCAGGTGCTTTGAGGAAATGCGTTATTCGCCACGAGGCTGATATGCAGAGTGACTTAAGTGCTCCGAATTCCCTGTAGCTCATTTGAATACAGCTGGCACAGGGAATCCGCACCCCAGGCCAGTAAGTCAAACATTGACAGGCGCTGCTAATGGAGAACTCCCGCAAGAGGTCACTTCAGGACCCATTTCCACGGGTTGGATAATAAACCGCACAGAAATTTAACACTCTACACCGCCGGGATATTATAAACCGCCTTCTGAGTGTGTTTTTTGTTGTTGAAATAATCGAAAAGCTTCGCGTGGCCTTGAAGAACACGGTGTTTATTTGAAACGTGCGGCGCTTCCGTGAAAACAATGCTCTTCACCCGATGTGTCATCCTCTTCGCAGTGGACAATTATTTAGCACCCGTGCCCGGCTTTGCTTATTCAAGTGTATGGCGCAGCAAGTCAAGCAGCACTCACCACTGGACTGAAGCGCTGACCTCACCATCCATGTCCGCCGAAATCAAAACCTCTACGTCGTCGTGACGACACTTGACATTGTGGTCGCTGTGACTTGCGCCCAGCACTTGTACAGCTTGGACTCAAAAAACACGTGGCACCCATCAAAACGGCATCACAATTCGGCAGCTCTCGTGCGCCTCCGATTGGCACGGTTGGCTACGTACGGTGCGAAAGAAGTTTAGCAGGCATGCGTGGGTACATATACACGTGTGTGCCTCGTGCATTCACGTACGTTCGTGTGTGATATAATTTAACACCGGGCACAGAAATTATCATTATCAGCCGTGATCTATACACCAGTTTGACGAAGACCTTCCCAAGTCGTCACCATCCTTTCACGGTGTTGATGTGCAACAAGTGCATGAAAGTTACTTCGTCGTTCCATTTCCGCGAACACGATCCGTTCGGGCACGTTCCCCTCCATTAGCTGCAACTCCGTTGTTAGTCTCGACCACCGCGAATACTCCCTTCTCGCGACACAATCCTGCCCGGGTAAACTTGATTTCTGTTGGCAGTCCAACACGACGTCTCGTTGCATATGTTCTGAATATTCGTGTGTTCGTCTTCCTGTCCCTCAATGTAATTCAAAGCACGTATTCCTTCGTGTTTATTTGCACACTTTTAACATCTTTTTTCTTTGGCAGTGTCCATTGTTTTTATGATCTGCATTATATAGAGGTCAACATACACAGATTGAAAAGCTCCTAATTGGACATCATACTGCTGTGAGGAGCTATGATTTGAGTCGCTACTATTTCACACACCACCCCTTTCATCACTAAATCTACCATACGTTTAATCTTTCTTCATCGTTTTACCTTATTTAATCTGCGTCTTGTATTACACTCCCCGTATTTTCAATATTGTCTTATTTTCGTGTTGAATTCTTGTTTAAACTGTATTTCAGGCCTACAAATAATCTTTTGTAATGGAAAACAGGTCTCCAGGGATAAAAATAGACGGCTGTCATCTTGCTCCTTTATCTCCAAGGAATATGTGCTCGGTGTCATTTAACGACGAAGCTCTGCAAATTCTACAAGATCTAAACCAACAAAACAGAGGGAATTTGACCCAAGCAAACATGAAGGAGACTCAATACGCCTTGAGCATCCACCAATAATAAACTAGATTGTTTCGATTCAACTTTGATAAAAAAAATTAGCTGTTGATGTTGCGAACATAGAGATAAAACCGACAACTTACAGCAATCTTGTGAAGAAGAGCACCGTCACTCTACAGACATGAAGGAACAGGCATGAAGGAACAGATACATCGATTGGAAAGCAGTCGTTGAGAAACCCACCTTAAGCCGTGTGGCGGTTCTGTGAGTTATTTCAAGCCATTCTGGAGTTCGCCAGTGTTGTGTTGAAGAATACGATCACTGACGCAATGTGAATTTACTCTCAGATGATTAATAAACAACTTAATTGTATACCGAATAAGCAGTGAATTTGCTGCAAACTGGATATAAAAAATGTCTGAAAATATGGCAAATGAAAGATATCATAGGGGCCGTCCATAAATGACGTCACGCGATTTTGGACGATTTTTGACCCCCCCCCCCTTCATCACACGGCGTCACAAAAAGTCAGACCCCCCTCAAATATGACGTCACAAAGCTCTGCCCCCCCCCCCCCCAAAAAAAGATAATACAGTACATGCTTCAAAACGCTTTAAAATATTGTCATTATAGTGCGTATTTAACGTGGCGCTGCACTCTGATGTTGTAGGAGAAAACATTTATTAAAAAGTCTATTTAATTAAGTAGAACATGTTGTCTATATTTATTTAAAGTTGCGCATTTGGATGTGACGTCACATTTCTCAACCCCCCCCCCCCTCGTCACACATCGTCACAAATGTCTGACCGCCCCCATAGATGCATGACGTCATTTATGGACGGCCCCATAAAACACATTTTCCCTGTTATCATTATTACTATTGACCATCGGCATTAGATTGGCCATGGCTGATGATGACAATAATCATATTTCCCGCGATACGGGTGCATTTGGGCACTTTGTAAATACAACACGTTCCGCAGGGCTAGTGTCGACAAAGTAAAGGCGAAAGTAATGGAATTAAGTAACTTAATTGTTAATGTCATAGGCCCGTGTGCTCGTGTGACAATATGCGGACATATATGAACTCATTAGCACAGTGGAAAATTCCCAACTCTGCTCAATGTGCTAATTGTAGGCATGTATCAGCCAACGAGTGGTGTTTATACACCTCGAGGCAGACATTGTGGCTGGAAGACAACGGACGGAGTGAAGCTGCACCGTGTTCGCACGACACGCGACTGGTGCGGTTAGATTCTTCACACGTGGATAATTAAAACGTCGCCCTGTTGTGAACGTGGCGGAGGTGCAATTTGCTGGTCACATACCCCACCCACCACTGCTCATTATATGCTTACAGGTACAAAGACACGCAAAAAAAGACAACGATCTCTGGTATAGCCTGAACAGACTGTTGGGAGCACGTGCTGTTAAGGGAGCACACATGAATGGCAGGCATTGGCACACGAGAGCGTAGGTGGCCAGCATCACGCCCGACCGCCTTTGTATCCCATTTGGAGAGGTTTACACATTGCACGAGGTACTCATTTGAGGTTGAGTCGGCTTTGGCAAGGCACAGGATCGGTTCAGATAATCGTCACCGGTGTTGGCCACGAGCGAGGAATCGGTCTCGGGTCGCCAGGTTCGCAGTGCGCTAACCGTTACCCTACCACTCCCCTCACAGGAGGCATGATGAGCATGCTCTGTAAGAAACAACTCTTTATGCCATTAAACATATTACCAAACTCAATGCACAGGTCTAATGTTTTGTTCAGTTGCTCTTTAAACGCCATATGGAAGAGAGACAGACATTGCGCAGTCGTGTTACTATTGTTACTGTCTGACATGGTACGATATGACAAGAAACGAATAATTCACGGAATCGGAATGCATCTTCCAATAATTGTGTGTGCCAATATGTGAATACAAGCCACCGGTTTACACTGCCATGACAAAGCGGCAGGGACATAGAATACATGCATTAAAACAGCAGCTTGAATGGTACAAATAAAGTAAAACAAAATGTACGGCACAAAACGTGAAGAGAGCACAAATGTTAGTTGTGTCCAATGCGGTTACATTGAGTGGGAATGGCATTGCATCAAATCACGTGGCATGTTTCACACAAGGCAATGGCAAAAATATACTGCAGATTGCAGCCTTTATTTCTGACAATGATCATGCACCGCCGGTTATCTGTATCTACTGGTTATGGCTCTGCCATATTCAATGGAGGTAATATGCTCACAATAATGAATGAACATGGTGGATGGGCTGCGAGTTTGTATCGTGTCACTAAACGGCACTATCGATGTCCGGTATACAAAAGAGCATGTGTTGCAAACTCGAAATGAAGGACGTGGGCAGGTGCTCCAAATCGAGGGCAAACATATTTATTGTGGTAATCTGTAAAATGCAACAGCACGTGTGTCACACGCAGCAATTCTCAACCTAGTCGCCATTAACCACGTTACTGATGTACAAGTCAGGTTACTCAATAGCGGTCTCCTTTAATCCCAGTTCCACTACTGATATATATTTCTCTTTAATCATAACCTCTACACTTCACTATTCGAATATTACTTTAACCCCACGCTGTATGTCTATCTATTACACCCATTATATGTACTGTATGTGTACTGTATATGTACTGTACTTGTCACCATTGTACAACTTACATGTGTTCTATTTTTAATAGCATTGCAAGTAGTCATACTCTGGGTGCATGGGCAGGGTTATAGAATAAACAGTATTAGGGTTAGAGAATTACCAGCATTAATTACAGTACGTCATCCTTTACAGTGGACAGTGCTAAACACCCTCCCATTGAGCATATCACAAACTACAAATTCAAAGCCAAGCTTCAAGACTAGCACATTTTTATAACTATCAAAAACAACCTTTGGGTCCTTTACCTGTAAAATGCAACAGCACGTGTGTCACACACGGCAATCCTCCACCGAGTCGCCATTAACCACGTGACTGGTGTACAGGTCAGGTAACTCGATAATCCTGCCAATCACCTACAGGCCCGACTCAGTATCGCATGCTGGTGTACACACGTGCATTGATGGACTGCACAGCACGTAAGGACCTTCACAAAACCACACTTTACTCCATTGCGGCACGAGGAAATAATTAAAAGAGTGGTCCATTTCTTATGTTCTACACATGCGTGTCTTGTTTCATTATCGCCACACATATTCGAGTATGGTGGATGAGCCCAAATATCTTGAAAGCCCTGTTCACTTCAACAACAGTGGCACGTGAACATGTTTCAGGGTGACGAGTTGTTAACTACCTCGGCTGGTATATCGGAGGTCATAGGTTCAATCTCGACCCTGTCACCTCTTGCATATTTGGAGTTTGCATGTTTTCTTCGTGGTTGTGTCAATTTTTCTCCAGGTCTTCTGGTTTTCCCATACACATTTAGAAACATGCGTTTAAGAATTTGGCTGCTTTAAATGTCCACATGATAAGCCACTTGGATGTGCTATCATTTGTGGCCGGGTCACTTCTGAAAAAGAGTTATATAGCTCAGTGGACCTTACCTGATAAAATCGTATAGTTTTGTTTTAGTTTACGTTTAATGAAATGATGATAATCAATTCACTTCATACAGTTGAAAAAGGTAGATCATGGGTTTATTTTTTGGCAGATAAAAGGGTGGTCTACCTTGCCATAAAAATTACACATTAAAGGTGTGCACCACACTTTACAAGAATATTGGGGCTTAGCACATCATGTGTGCAAGCATGCATATCTTTTGGTGAAAACTATCATGTGTCAATACTGTGGACAACATATTGTAGAACACAGGCTATGGTCCAGCATTCGAGCTGTGGTGTCTGACTTAAGATAACATTCTATTCCTCTGTGCTTCCTGCAAAACGTACATTTGTAGTCAATATGCACCCATTGAAAAAGCAATGTATAGACAGATAGCTTTGGTGCCCAAGATTAAATCTGCACATCCATTCTGTGCCACTTTTTCTGAAGTTTGTTGACTGTTTAACCTATGCAAGTCATTCAGTGGGTGGGAAATCACCCATGGAAATTGCATTTCATATTTTTGGCCAATTATTTTCGTACTGTTTTGTTACGGAAAAAAATATATACATTTATTTAACTGCGCATTAATTATAAGTTCAGTACTATCATAATTTTAATGAGTACACATTAGTGGTGCTACGGTGACAAAATGTTAACTACCTTACCTGGTATACAGGAGGCAGTAGGTTCGATCTCAACCCTTGATGCCTGTATATTTGGAGTTTGCATGCTCTCCCCGTGGTCATGTGTAATTTTCTCTGGGTTCTCCAGTTTTTCCCTCCACATTTTGAAACATGTGTTTAGATTATTTGGCGGATTACACTATATAATACAATTTTTGTTCCTGGGTAGTAAGCATTATTTCCTAATTGCTTATGCCTAAAAAGTATAAAACATGTCTATTATTCTCCACAAACTTTGCTTTAAAGTCCAGGACATTGATATTTTGAAATTTACCTATTTTCAATGAGAAAATGGGCGATATTGTGTCTCTTCGTTCACATAAAGTCAGAAAAAACAACATATTTATCAATATTAACATGCATTTATACTAAACTAATAAAGAAATGACTACAAAAGATTTAGAAGTGAATAATTTTTCAAGATTTACGATTATACTTTAAATCACTTTCACGAATCAGCCCCCAAATGTAGTCTCCCATCATGTTCTTATTATACTGTCCTTGGTAGCAGCGTTCAAAGTCCAGTATATCCTGGTGGAAGCGCTTGCCTTGCTCCTCCGATTACGCTCCCATGTTCTCCTTGAATTTATCAAGATGAGCATCAAGGATATGGACTTTAAGAGATATCCTACAGCCCATTGTGCCGTAGTACTTCACCAGTCTCAACCAGCTCTACGTAGTTTCGACCTTGTGATTTCCCAGGAAGCCACGAACCACTGCGACAAAGCTGTTCCAAGCTGCTTTCTCTTTACTAGTGAGCTTCTTTGGATATTCATTGCACTCCAGGATCTTCTGTATCTGTGGTCCGATGAAGAAACCGGCTTTGACCTTTGCCTCAGACAGCTTAGGGAATAAGTCTTGAAGGTACTTGAAGGCTGCTGACTCCTTATCTACAGCTCTGACAAATTGTTTAATAAGGCCAAATTTGATGTGCAGTGGTGGCATCCGCACCTTCCGGGAGTCCACCAGTGGCTCCCACTTGAGGTTGTTCCTCCCCACAGAAAACTCGGTCCGCTGTCGCCAGACCTGCCTGTGGTAGTGCGCCTTGGTGTCCCTGCTGTCCCAAAGGCAAAGATAGCAGGGAAACTTGGCAAAACCGCCTTAGAGACCCATCAGGAATGCCACCATTTTGAAGTGTTTGATGACCTCCCAGCCGTACTCATCATACTTCAAGGCATCCAGCAAGGTGTTGATGCTGTTGTAATCCTCGTTGAGGTGCACCGAGTGAGCCAGGTGAAGAGACGGGTACTTGTTACAATTATGGAGCAGCACGGCTTTGAGGCTCCTGGATGAGCTGTCAATGAAGAGGCGCCACTCATTCTGGTTACAGGCATTTCCGATTGCCTCGAATAGACTGGTTACATTGTGGTAGAAGTAGAGCCCATTTTGATGGGTGAAGAAGCTGCAAGAAGATTGGTGACACTTCCTCTGATCTGCGACTTGCACGCTTTCATCCAACAAGTTCCACTGCTTAAGCCTAGACGTCAAAAGCTCGGCATTGGACTTGGTGAGACCAAGATCTCTCATCAAGTTGTTGAGGTCTTTTTGGTTGGGGTAGTATGGGTTTCTTTCCTCAGCTCCACCTCTGAAATAGTCATCTGGATCTACAACATATCTCTCGCTCTCTGACTTGCTGCTCTCTTCGCAGTGTGGCACCGGGGCGATGGATGAAGGAAGGTCCAGATACGTGATAGCAGGTGCATTATTGCCAGTCCGACGTTTGAAAGGGTCCACCATGCAGAAGTAGCAGTTGCTTGAGTGGTCAGTGGGTTCCTGCCAAATTCTTGGGATAGCGAACTTCATGGCTCTCTTTTCCCCTCTGTACCATCCTACAAAAATACATTTATTTCACCCATGACTAATGTGTAAGCAATTCTCACAACATTTTTCATATACGATATCATGTTTTCAATAACATTGAAAACTGTAAAACATTTTATTAAAAACTTTTACAATTAAATTTTTTAAAACAAATTTTATAACATTAAATTCAAAGCAACAATTGTCAATCTTACCTTCCAGAGTTTTGTTTGCATTTCTCACAGGTGAAATGAGGTGCCCAGGGTTTGTCTGGATCCCCAACAGGCATGTGGAAATATGCCTTGTAGGCCTCACACATCTTAGAAGATGCTTCCACGGAGTACTTTTTCGCTCTTGTCTTGATAAATTGGCCGCAGACATAGCAAAATGCGTCTGCCGGATGCTTGCAGCCTCTTGATGCCATCTCAGAAAAATGCAACTAAACTGAACTGGTGGGCTTAAGGCCCCTGTATTTATACCACTATTTATATTACTGTTCTAGAATGTTCTAGAAGTTACTCCAAGTTTACTCAGCACTGAATCTATCTGGAATGTTCTGGAAAATAGGTAAATTTCACAATATCTTTGACTTGGTCACAAAAGCAAAGTTTGTGGGGAATAATAGCCATTTTTTGTACTTTTGAGGCATAAGCAATTAGTAAATAACACTTACTACCCAGGAACAATAAATAAATATATGTTACACAGGGTTACACATTCCCGCACGTCAAGCCACTTCATTGGCCAGGTTGCTTCTGAAAAAGAGCTATATAGTTCAGTGGGCCTTACTTAGTAAAATAAAAAAAAATAGTTTGCAAAACTTTTCTAATATCCTTCAGAAGGAAACACGTGCATTATTGCATAGCCACAGGGGCATGGCTATGCTTTTAAATTAATTTATTAACAAAGCATGCAACATCACAGAATGCAATTAATGTTGTGGACAGTGACACGATAACTCGATTGGATTTATTTCACATTGAGATAAACCCAGGAATTGAATGAAACTATACCTACATTAGCCAAATTAATCTGACTAGGTCGTGGTGCCCTTGGTAGGTGTGCTAACATGTGGCCTTAGCTTAAACTTTCTCGGTGACAATTATACACATACAACTTTGTGTGCTGCGGATATACATATTAGCACACAGTACTCTCATCAGCATGCTTCACTCACAATAAAGAGGTGTATTGTTGTAACCTAACTCAAGTAGGTTGACAACTTGGATTGGCGCGGTTGGCTACCTACGGTGCCAAAGAAGTTCAAAATACATACATTTCATCATTTAACTTACTACGAATAAGTAAGTCCGAACACCACTTTCTTCATGCACTCTTATGAGTTTTGTCCAATACATATGCGAACTGATCATGCAGAGTAAGTTCTTGTGAGAAAAAACAACAACGGTGATTTAAGTCTTTTGCAAAATTGTCCCAGACTCAATTATGGATCCCAAACATCTGATGATAGCTGATTCCAGGTCGTCGGGCTGGAGACCCAGACACGGCGCTGGCCGTATCGCACAATGTGTGTGGGTACAGCAGGAGCAGATCGTTGATGACGTCAACTGGGGTCCATTGAGGCTGATACTGCACACTTCTCAGCAAGATAAGATGGAGCGGATTGGTGCAGACACGTGTCGGTGAGTAGGTATAGTTTGCAAAGAATCATGTGTAACTTGTCTCTTATCGAGGTCACGATCAGATTGAATTTCGACTTCCGAACAATCAGGAGAGCCGCAGCATTTAAGGCTAACCGACGAGGACTGGAATGGATGCAGACAATGATTGTCTCTTAAAATGTCAGGATGATCGGTGACTGGCTGCAATGGACAGGTGATGGAGGGAATTCTTAAAGGTGCGAGGGGAAGAGGAAGACCGCGATCTGAGTGGACGTGAAACACGAAACACTGGACGAGATGGAAGCGGTCTTAGTTGAAGGATGCAACGACACAGAAACAAGTCGGGAGACCACTGCAAGGAGATTTCGGGGATGGAATCGGTCATGGCCCAACGGCCCAAAATACCAAGGGACTAGATGAAGAATTGCAGTTTTGAAAAAGTTGACATTAACTCATTAATATTCTATAATTATAATGCACCCTTAATGAAAATGTATTTGGGTAATGTAATTGGTTCCTCGCTGTATACTACCCTCGTGTATTTGCAAAATGGTTCATTTTATATTTGAGAACCCTACGTGCCAACGTTACATTTTGATTATAACCAATTTAAATATTTATATTGCATCTGTTACTACTCACCAAATTGTATTAAGGATGAAAATATTTAAATAAAATTTCTAAAATATTACATTAGATTCTTGTTTTCCTGATTTAAAATCTACATTTGCGGTCAACGAGAAAACATTTACCTATGACTGATTGTGGTATTTCCAATAATAAACATTATATTTTGTAAAACATTCAATGCCTCTTTTTCGCTTCATACACCATGTGTTAAAGCCATACAAATTCAATTCCAACAAGAGGTTTTGTTCATACATTTTAATTATTTCATTTTTTTCTCATCGGTCTTTTGCAAAAATATTTTTGCTAGAAGTAAATTACCTAATGACATTAAATATAAATAGGTTTGGAGACAATCTACTAAGTAAGCCAATAGTCCCATGCTAATCTAAATTATTGTGGAAATTATGAAAACATATTTTTTGTAAAATGATATTTGGGGGAGAGATATTAAAAAAATTCGAGATAATACCCCGCTATAAATAGAAACATTCAGGCATTTAATGTTAATCAACATCATATTCCTTATCCACAAGAATGCATAGTAGTCGTAACAAATATAATGCAAATAACGTAAATGCTGCTCAACACAATTTATTTGAGGAAGCACTGAAGAAAGCCCACTTTAAATCCTTACTTCACTTACATTTTAGAACTTGCCAATTTTCACAAATATTTAAGCAAAGAAAGATCACAGAGCAATAGTGTTAGAGAGTGAGATCACACTACACAATGACCAAGTGGAAATGTCTCATTACAAGCCCACACACAGACATAGCTATGTGCATTACAAGACTAAACTAAACAATTTAAACATTTTATTACTATTTTTATTTTACCAGGTAAGGTCCACTGGGCTATATGGCTCTTTTCCAGAAGCGACCTGTCCACAAATGATAGCTCAACGAAGTGGCTAATCAAGTGGACATTTATAGTGGCTAAATACTCTAAATGCATGTTTTGAAATGTGGAGAGAAAAACCGGAGGACCTGGAGACAAATCCCGTGACCAAGGTTAAACACGCAAACTCAAAATATACAGACGTCAGGGTCTGGATCCAACCCACGACCTCCTGTATACCAAGCGAGGTTGTTAACATCGCGCCACCGCAGCATGCACATGTCCCATGGACGCAGAACACTGCAGGAGCACTACTTTTCCTTATTCACTGAAGTTATCTTCTGACTGCATGGAAGGGTGCTTGAACTGTCAACCAAAAGCCATCTGGTGCACAGACCGTAAAATTATTCCTGGGGTGTTTTTTGAAAAAGAAAAAATCCTGCAAAAAAACAAATGTCCTTCAACATAATGAGCCACATTTTTAAATCGTGATGATCCAAGTCACACAAGTTTGATTTCTAAAGCAAGTGGTTTTAATTTAATTCCTGGCATATCAATATTTTTCTGGAATGTTTACCCGAGTGTTTTGAACTTCGATGTTTTTATTACAATTTTTTTCAATGGCTAATACCTATTAATGTTGTTGGGTTTATAGTTAAACATATTTTTACTTTTTTTTAATTCACGCAAATCTAAAGCCAATTATTTACTAAAATATGTAAGAAAAGCATTTTTATTTTAACAGGTAAAGCCTACTGAGCCAAAGATCTATTTTTCAAAAGCGACCTGGCCATTAGTTATAACTCAATGAATTGGCTTATCAAGTGGAAATTTATATCAGCCAAATACGCTAAACACATGTTTCTAAATGTGGAGAGACAAACGCGACCACGGGGAGAGAGACACGCAAACTTTAAATATACAGCAGGCATCAGGGTCAAAAGATGGAAGGAACCACAGCTTTAACGTAAACTACTTAATGAGATCTCTCCTTATAAAACGCAACGATTGCATTGCAACAAAATGTTCAAAATTACAGCACTGATCCGGGCAACCCTAGGGGCAGCTGTGGTTTTGTGGAGAATTCTGCACATGCGCTGGATGTCTGCTCTGTCTGTGATGGACACATATATGTAAGTCCTTGGGTATATATGGGTTTTGTATTCGTATATGGATCTCTATGTGAGTCTATGAGTCCCTGTTTGAATCTATGGGTCCGTGTTTGGGTCTATGGATCTCTATGTGAGTCTAAGGGTCTCTGTGTGAATCCTGTATATGTACCATTGGAAAATGTTATCGTTTCTTAACGACTCGCGTTCTACCAACAGCGTCTCCTTGATCTATCTCTGCGGTGTGATCCGGACATCTATAAAAACGAGCTTCATAGCTCATCGGATTTCTCCAGGATAAATACATATTCTGATCTCTATGGCTACCATTCTACTACGAGTCCTGTCAATTGGCTAGTATGCCTTCCAGTGATGTGTTTTGCCCAACACATACAATTTTGTTTAAGTCAACATGATGTTGCTGGATGCACCTGTATTCAAAGCCAGAAGATAAAATCGTATTTGTGGTTGTCATTGGTCTTTGGTAGTGCTATGATTACCAAGTATCGCACCCTTTTCCTGTGAGTACCATTGGCCTAATAGAGGCTCATCTGCCTTCAGTAGCTATTGTGCTGTAGTAGCAGTCCCAGCAGTTTATATACCCTACAATGAGAAGGAAAGATTTGATTTCAGGTCACACGCTTCACCACGTGGAAAGTAAACGTAACAGGTTCGGGTGCAGCCCTGCAATTACTTGCTCACACCACTGCTGATGGAAAGACCTCCACTGGAAGCAATAAGAGTGCCTCGTGATGGTAATTGCTTTAATTATACACGCTGGCCAGACGTTTTGGAAGAGGTGGGAGTAACCACACTTTAACTAACCACATGCCACCTACCGATCGACGAACCGTGGTGTACGCATTTATTCCGCTGGGTCAACAGGGGACAGGTGACTTAATAGACTTGCCCATTGCATCAACTGCCACGGCCCGATTACCCGAAGAACGAAATTAATGAATGGAACGTTCAATTGCAAGACTAGTGGCGGCTATTACAGCACGTACAACATTTGTGAGAATATTTTTTTACAAATAACTTTACAAACCTGCTGAAACAATCCATTTGAGCCACAAATGCGATGTCAAACGGTATTTCCAGCTTAGGAAAATAAACATTTCCTTACCAGTAGATGGGTTGAAATGTATATATGAACACGTGGACTGTGTAGGGTAAGTATCCCTGCACTTCCCCGACACACTCGTGAATGTGTCTCTGGACAGAA